ATCTTTCTAGAACGCATTACATGTTACCAGCATCACGTGACTTCTGCTGTCGTAACAATACATAAAGCATTTAATAATGATCCAAAATGGCTATAACTGCGTGCGAGATGTTTGATTTCAGCTGGATGGTCATTTATACACGAGGAATCGAATTGTACATATACATTCCGGTTGTCAGAGGCTTTATTAAATTAAGTTAGCTGTTGATTTTGTTTTCTATCGGATGCAATTAAAAGTAATATACATATATTTCAAGATTATTTATACTAAAAACAGATGTTTTAAAAACGAATGAAAAATTGATCAGGAGAACAGTAACCACTAAGTACATTTTTGGATGCTTTTCGCAGTGTTCTCTACTTGTTCAGATACAATAGCGGCACAGTGGCATGTCTGCGGCAATATATCTCTAGAAACCGGGTTTCGATACCCGTGGTGGGAAGAGCACAGAAAAATGTTTGTATAGCTTCGTGCTTCATAACAAACAATAACAACAAATACAATAACAGCGGTAGAGTGGAACGCCCAACTGCACCAACAAATTACGCCACACATTTCAATATCGTGAACTTCCAAAAAGTAATGATCAAATACATCATTTAAGATGCTATAAAACCTTCCTTTTACCCATCAACAATCACTTGCTTAATTTAATCAACACTCAGGGTTTCTGTTTCTCACTACATTCCAAACAAAAAGCTATTTCTTTGTTCAGGATCGTCGCGAAAAAACTATTAGTCATCTGAAAACTATTTAGTTGCAGGTTTTTCTTTGATCAGGACCGTCGCGAAAAAACTATTGGTCATCTGCAAACTATTTAATTGCAAGTTTTTCTTTGATCAGGACCGTCGCGAAAAAACTATTGGTCATCTGCAAACTATTGAATTGCAGGTCTCTTTCAATACATAAAGTTGGCGCAAAAGTGCGAAACTTACATGGTTTTTTATATAGTTATTGTGGCAATTTACTTTTTATTTCTTCTTTGTACAAAGTCTACGACAAATTTCTAGAAATTCAATCATCCTGCAACACCCCTTTCAATGTAGAGCGAGGCCAACTCTATGAGACGTTCCTGAGACAGAGATCTCAGATGGGCTTTACTTAATTCCAATTTTGCAAAATTCCTCTCAGCAGATGCAACAGTCCCTAAATGTTAAGTAATATCCTTAAAGCAATGGTGCTAAATCATCTTTTTAAGTAAAGCATAGTGTTCCAAGATCCTAAGTTGACTCTGGGAGAAATGTAGCTAATTACTTTAATTAACGTCTGACTTAGTTCCATCAGCGCTGGATAGTGCTACAGCTGCCCCCTAGTGGCACAGCGGTATGTCTGCGGACTTACAACGCTAGAAACCGGATTTCGATACCCGTGGTGGGCAGAGCACAGATAGCCCATTGTGTAGCTTTGTGCTTAACTTCAAACACACACACACGGTGCTACAGCTAAATTTTTGCACTATTTTATTTATTCATTGTGTTCTACCTTTTGAATTACCTTAACGTCAAACAGGAATCCAAACATTAACATGTAGTCAGGGAGCATCTCAATCAATTTTGAACTATTGTTAGGTATCAATGATTGGTTTATCATCCAACTTGTAGCTACAAAGGTGTTTTTTGTTTGTTTTGGGTATGGTATAATGGCTAAGATTTCAGTTTACTGAACTTAGACCACCGCTGGCTCTTCAACTCTACAGTGGCAGGAAGGTAAGGGTAAATGATGAAGGAACATACTTTACAGTTGTCCCACAAGGAGGCTAGCCCTATTGTTTTTGTTACAGTTGTCCCACAAGGAAGCTAGCCCTATTGTTTTTTATAATCTACATTACTACCATGCCCCTTATTGAAAATAACGTATTGCTTCTCAATCTGCTGATGACCTATCTATTTGGAAGAGGTAACTAGATACATCACTGGCCTCAACAAACCTTCAACCCCTCTTGAACATAACAAAAGAACGGTACAATACATGGCGCATTAAAATAAACCTTCAAAAAAGTCATACAGTCTGCTTTCTAAAATCGCCTAAACACCCTAAAATACCCCCAAAATTTTATTTCTTTGGAAATTTGTTTCTGGTAGTCACGTCAGTCATATTTCTTGGTCTAATGTATGACGCCAGGTTAATTGACGCAATTAAAATCTGAATATGGGAAAAGGTAAACTGTATAGACAGCCTAGCTATAGCAACAGCCGAAGATAAGTTACATTAGATCAGTTATATAATATGCCTGTCCCGCGTGGATAAGTATAAACAAGTCAAATATTATAAACTAAAAACATTATATGTTCTGAGAGTTTCAAGTTTATATCCACAAAGTTTAACGTCATTACGTAAGCCTTACTATGTTGCCATATAAACGTCACCACTGTCCACCCTCCTATTTCAAGATAAATTTAAGCAAAAATAATCCAGTCTGAGCCAATTTATTAAACCAGTTAAATAGAGTATTGAGCGTATGTCTCTGATCAACATTTACTTTAAGGCCAACTAATGCTAGGTTTTACTAAATGTTCGATATATTATCATTTGTTTTATAACTGGACTGTTTAATCTTTCATATGGACAATAGTATTAATCAAACATGAACGGTATTTGAAATTGAATAGGCTTCGTTGTGATGTTTTATTAACCCTGCATTAGTCTTCTGTAAAAATTGTCCATAGTCACTCTTCCGGTGTCTGAGCAGACCACATCATAAAAAAATGTAATTTAAAATATTTATATAATAATAATAAACTATTATTTTGGAAACAAAAAAAAACTCTAACATTCAAAATCCCTTTTCCTTTATTAATCAATAAATGAACATTGAATATTACAACTTGTTTCTTTTTCACCTAAACGAAGAGTAACAATTTAACACAAACTAGCCGAATACTGAAGCTACTGAGAACAACGAACATGTACGTGCTTCTATCTGTCGGCGTTGATGTTTACAAAATATTTGGTGTCCGTAAAGACCCCGGAAGACTAACGCAGGGTTAATGAGTTC